GTGTTGTCTCTGACTCCAGCATCTGCAGTTCTTGCTATCTCCAAGTAATGTAAGGAATGTTTTAGGTAGGCTCAAAGTGACTGAAAGTAAGTGAATAAGCCAGAAATGCTGCCTAGTCCAATCCAGGAGCTGTGTGCGTCCTTGTGTGCACAGTATCCTTGCTGCAGTATTACAATGATTGGTGTCATTGTACTCTGAGATTCAGCATTGAAGTGTAGAAGCAAACCTGTATGTAGATGGAAGATGTGCCATGAGTGTCCTTGGAGGCTGGCACAAAGCAGGTGCCAATATCTGTGGATGTAAGGTGCATGAAGCTGATGCCCACTAATTGTATCCTGAGGTGCTGTTGTGTGGTGATCATCAAGGAGGTCCTTTAGAGCAAGGTAGCCACTCTGACTTCCATGTCGACAATTCTCAGTGTCTAGGTTTGCTCACTGCAGCTGCTACAATAGAAAGCTGCGTATTAATATGGCGAGACGTGCAGTGCATAAGGTCGTTAACAAGCAATAATCTCCCCTTAATAAGCAACTCGCTGCTGCCTGGTGAGAACCTCACCCCGATGTTCGGAACTTAGTTAAAAGATGCAGAGTGTTGTTCCCGACGCTGTGATAGGCCCTGTTGGACTTGCTGTGCACTTCTGCCGCAAACCTCACCAGAGACCAGATCGTTCAGGCACTCTTAAGATTCCACGTAATGTTTCATGTCTGTGATCTTTCATCCAGAACAGAAAGAAATTTGAGATTTAACAGGCTTTTAAGCAAGTGAATGCATGTTAACTTTTATCAATACAGCATTGTTCCCACGGGCAAATCACAGTTTAGCTGCAGTAATGCCCAGTGTACAGTTCTGAAGACTTTAGTCTTTAAATGAAAAACCATCAAAAATGAAGCATTTAAGCCTTAAAACTAGAGGTCATTTCATAAAAGTAAAGGATCGTCCACTTAAAACAGAGATAAGGGGAATTCTTTTTTCTTCCAGAGGATTGTGAGTCTTTGGAACTCTCTTCCTCAAAAGGAGGTGGAAGCAGAGACTTTGAATAATTTTATGGCCAAGGTGGATAGATTCTTGATAAGCAACAGGGAATAACTTGATCAGCCATGAGCTCACTGAATGGGGCTGCGGACTCGAAGGGCCGAGCGGCCCGCAGTTGCGTCTAATTTGTATGTTTCTAAGCGTATACAACGATACCCTGTCTTGCTTCAGTCTCTTGGTTCAGTCCATTTGCACCTTGAAACTCATTCGATCAATCTCATGAGGGGAAATTGCTTTCGCATTGCCAAAGCCACAGCTCAGTTTATATGTTCCAATACATCTTGGTGTTTCAGGCCATGACTACAGTATAGATCTCATTGCAAAATATAGGACACTAAAGGGCATATCTGGTACAAATTGAACTGTTGATAGTTTGCTGTCAAATATGGTTTGCAAAGGTTGGGTTGTAGCAAACCTGGAATTAAGAGAAACTTTGTGGAGTGTGCTGGCAGACCCCAATGATATTCAGGAAGTAGCATAAATTTGACAGTGACATGAGAATTACAGTGTATATTGCAGACCTCTGTAGCTGCAATCTACTATTGACTGATTCATCACTGTCTGCCACATTTGCTGCACTTTTTTAATTCCTGTATCCCTCTCAGGTTTATTCTCTCACCTTTAGCCATTTTCTCGCCTCTCTTATTTTGGTAATCCAATATTTCTTTGCCGCTCTGTGCTCTTCTCTCTTGTCTCATTTCATTGGTACACAGAACCTTTGGGAAGCTACTTGTTGTGAAACCAGAATCGTGTTTCAATAAAAGCTCAAGTGCCTTGTTCTGGTAGCCCTTCAAAGCAAGGAGGAGTTTGAGATGGAATACAGTCTGTGGCAAGAAGCTGTGCAAGGAGTCTTTAAACATGGGGAGGCTATGGAACTGCAGTTACTATGCATAGCATTTTGTTTGAACAGGAGATTCCCTTGCTCTTATCCCCTGTCATGGGGATATTGGAAGGATTTATAAGTTGATGGTCAATCTATATAACCACATTATGAACACAATTTCCTTGGCCATCCAATCCACAGAATGGGACTTGAACCTGGAGCTTCTGGCTTAGAATGAGAGACCTTCTCAAGGGCAAAAAGGACGTGGACATCGCTGGCTGGCCAGCGATGCCCACGTCCCTCAAGTGAATAAAAAACAGCCACTGCTTCACATGACTTCCCTCAAACTCAAATGCAATTGTACAAATAGAGAACAGAAGAAATCTCACCTTTTCCTCCTCCAGAGCAAAAGAGGACTAAGAGATTCAATGAAATCTCATGTAGAGAATAGCTCATGTTGTACATACTGGAGGGCAGGAAAAAATGTTATAAATGGACCACTGTGAGTAACTAAGAGAATTTAATTATAGTGCCAATAGTCTGACCCTTTACATATTTCAAACAGAATCCCAGACCTTGCAAAGGAATGATGTAGCCTTATATCTGCTGTAAGGGATCAGATGCATACAGATATGTGTGCTGCATTAATGTGTTCTGTCTATCTGGCTGTCATTAGTGTGCATTGCCCAAGCTGCCACACACTTTTGTGAGATTCAATCTGTTTTCCTCTGTACAGTATTAAAAATAGAAAACGCTGCAAGTGATTACAGGTCAGGTGAGATCCGTGGAGGGAGAGAAACTGATCTGATATTTCAGGTCGATGGCCTTTTATTAGAACTCGGAGAAATTAGAGATATTCTGAGGAAGCGGTAGGACTCTGGAAGCTTGGGGTCAGGACTGCAGACAGAACAAGGAAAGATCTGAAAACAAAGATGAGAATTGAATGTGCTAATCCATATAGGTCAGTGAACACAGGGGTGATAGGGGAACTGGGTATTTTGGATGGTACCTAGTTTATAAAGGGTAGAAAGTGGGGGACATTGGAATATTTGGGTTTCAAGGGGTTTTTTTATTCCTTTGTGGGATGTAGGAGTCATTGGCTGACCTAGCATTTGTTGCCCTAAATGCCATTGAAAAGCATGATGGTAAACTGTCTTCTTGAACTTCTGCAGTCAGTTTGGTTTAGGTAGACCCACAATGCTGTATGGGGTGGGCGGGAGTTCCAGGATTTTGACCTAGCAACAGTAAAGGAATGATAATATATTCCTAAGTCAGGATATGGATGGCTTGGAGGGGAACTCATAGGGGGATGGTGCTGCCATGTATCAGCTGCCCTTATTGTTCTAGATGGTAGCGTGTTTGGAAGATGCTGTCAAAGGAGCCTTGGTGAATTTCATCAATGCATCTTTTAAATGGTACTTACCACTATTACTGGGCATTAATGGAGGGAGTGAATGTTTGTGGATGTGGTGCCAGTCAAGTGGGCTGCTTTGAGTCAGTTGGCATCAAGTTCCTCAAGTGCTGTTGGATCTACGCTCATTCAGGCAAGTGGAGAATATACTATCACACTCCTGACTTGTGTCTTGGTGGACATGGCTTTGGGAAGATAGGAGGTGGATTTCTCACCAAAGGATTCATAGTCTCTGATCTGCTCTTATACACACAGTATTGACATGACTAGTCCAAATTCAGTTTCTAGTCAAAGGTAACCCACAGGTTATTTTTGACCAGAGGTAAGGAAGGATAAAAAAAATTGCATTTTATCCAATGCAGGTTTTATTCTGAAAACAACAAATGCTGGAGATCACAGTGGGTCAAACAGCATCCATGGAGAGAGAGCAAGCTAACATTTCGAGTCTAGGTGACCCTTCATCAGAGCTGAAATGAAGTGTCGAGGAGGCAACATTTATATTATAGTTGTTATGGGTGGGGATGTGTGGTGGTGATGGATGTAGAGTGCTGTTGGAGAAAAGATTTGATAGTTCAAAGTAAGGGATCAGAATGTGAGAATGGCAGACCAATGGTATATCTAACTGCCAGACTTGAAAAAGAAGACAGTCCCACTAGGGTGGGGGGAGGGGCGAGAGGACATGGTGATAGAGAATGTAACAAGTAAAACTAAAAGAAAGAGAAGAAATGGGAGTTGGTTCACAATTTGAAGGTGTTGAACTCAATATTAAGTCCAGAAGGCTGTAAAGTGCCTAGTCTGAAAATGAGATATTGTTCCTCCAGTTTGTTCTGTGATTTGCTGGAACGAGGACAGACATATGGGCGTGTGAGCAGGATGCTGTTTTAAAAAGACCGGCTATGGGGAGGTCAGGAGTCATGCTTGTGCACAGACTGGAGGTGTTCTGCAAAGTGGTCACCCAGTCTGTGTTTGATTTCTCCAATGTAGAGTAGGCCACGTTGGGTGTAGTGAATATAATACACAAGATTGGAGGAGGTACAGGTGAAATGCAGCTTCACCAGGAAAGACTGTTTCTGCCCTTGACTGGTGAGCAGGGAGGAAATGAAGGGGCAGCTGTTGTATCTTCGCCACCATGGTTACACGGGAAGGTGCCGTGGGAAGACGGATTGGGATTAGTGGTCAATGAATGGACTAGGGTGTGTCAGAGGGAACAATCCTTGCGAAATGCAGACAGGCGGAGTGAGGGGAAGATGTGTTTGGTGTCAGTGTTCTGCTGGAGTTGTCTGAAATGGCGGAGAATGATCGTTTAGTTACAGAGGCTGGTGGGATGAAGACAAGGGGGACCCAGTCATGCTGTTGTGAGTGATGGGAAGGGGCAAGGGTGGAAGCATGGGTGACAGTCCCTGTCAACCACAGTGAGTGGGAAACCACGGTTATGGACAATGCAACCATCATTTTTTCAAACGTTGCCACCAGCAGGAACAGTAATCTTAACATCCATCTGCCCCTGTGCTGCACAAACTCACTACAATCCCTGGCCCGTTGGTGCCCGGAGCGAAGGGTGGCTGGCGGGGCGCGAGCGGCCCTCTGGGACTTGTAGTCCTCGCGCCGGCGGTCGGTCGCCAGTAGTACTGGAGGCTCGAATGGGGGGAGGACTACAATGGCCAGCATGCTTCGCGCGCCGCCTGGTCCCCAGGGAGGGGGCGTGGCCTTCGATCAGCTGGTGGGGCCCAGGACTCAACCACTGCGGGAGGATTAAAGAGCTCTCTCTGTCTCTGGGCAAAGGGGAGAGAGAGAGAGAGAAAAAAGCTTGTAGCATCTGCAAAGGCTTGAACCTGCATTAGTAATAAATTACATGTTGCATTGAAAAAAAAATCCAGGGGATCGAAATTAAAACAAAAACAATAACATGGACAATTCTGGCAAAGAGAAAGAAGCCATGCAACTGATGGCTGATGCAGAGAAGAAGGTGAAATCATCGCATTCCTTTCTTGGAGGTTTGTTTGGGTAAGAGCAGCATCAGTTTAGTTTAGAGTCTGTCTGTTGTGTTTTTTTTCAGGGGGTAGGCTAGCCCTTCTAGCAGACAGGCTTGGGGTTAATACACACCGACTGTTTGCATTGTCAAGTCAATTGGTCATGCATTTTTAAATAAAAAATCTACCAAAATATTCCAGGTTTTTTTTCATATGTATTGCATCTCTGGGGTAGTTATTCTGAAGCGTTCCGCGGATGGAGTCTTCTTTGGAAATACTGCAGTGCTTGCTAGCTGCCATTTTTTTTAACCTCCAGTGAAGGAGAGAGGGATAATTTCAGAACATGTTTTGCTTGGAAACGAAGGGATTTGAGGGAATTGGTGGTATTTCTCTTTTTCGACAATCTGCAGTGCCAGTATCGCATGGGGAGGTTATATAATCATCATCCATCGGGAATTAAACGTTTCCTTTTTTGTGTGTGTGTGTGTGTGTGTGTGTGTTTGGGGG